CTTGTTCATGTCCCGACATTTATCCTGGCTGGCCGACTCCGTCACCTTTACACTGTCGCTCGGTTGAGGTCGTGCCGACGTAAGTCCAACTGCCCAGCATGTGAACTCATTCAACACGATCATCTTCTCATTCGCTGCCTCTTGCGCCCAGGCTTCACCTTGGGCTCGAGTGAAATCCTTCACGCGATTGTTTTCTGCTCTATCTCGCGGTCCCTGTGTCGGCGGGGGCTCCATCGTTGGGTCTTCCCCCAAACATTCTGGATCATTCGGCCCTCATGCCCCGTCGATGTTTCCGATGACGAGGTCGTACAGGGGGGTCGTCATGCATAGAGCCGTAACCTTCCCGCTGAAGTACGGGGTTTCAACCTCAATCTCTGCTTCGGGAAGCATCCAAACCGTACTGTCAATTAGGCAAACCGGTTTCGTTTTGCCTGTCAACTCACTTTCCCGTACCAAATTTTTCCGCACGATAACCGTGGAGATACCGGTGTCTCTTAACACCGTAACCTTCTTGCCCGCAGCTTTTCCAGGCAGCGTTGGCATTCCCTTCGTAACACCGGTTGGCTGTTTTGTTATACAGCACCCACAATAGGAATTTTCTCCCCATTTTTCAACTCTACGAATCCGTCGGTGATGGTATTATCATCGGATTTCAGTGCTGCTAGCACACAGGATACCTGGTGAGTTTACTCGCACCGTTACGAGATGCGTCTGCATTATGCCCAGTCTGACCACACTTGAAATATTTACTACCGTAGGGCTCGTAAAGTTAGTACGACAGTTGTTCGTGCGATGACCCACTCGGTTACACAGAAAACATCGCGGGACACTCTCCGGTGCAGGTTTCTTTTGTTCGGGTGCCGAAGTTTTCGAATCTTCCGGACACTCCTTCTTAACCTTGGCCAAATTAGTGCCACCTTGCGCTTCCAAGAACTGATCCGCTAATTCAAGCATGTCTTCAAGTGACTTAGCTCTCCTCTCTTTCAAGTACAGCGACAGGCTTGGGTGGCAACTAATAAGAAATTGTTCTCCTATTAGGAGCTCCCTAAGCTCATCGTACTCCTGCGCTGTCCCTGAAAGTTCAATCCATCTGTCGAAATAATGGCAAAGTCGGGTGGCATACTGCGTAGCCGTCAAACCATCAGCTGGCTTTCCTGTCCGAAATCGGTCCCGGAATCCTTCGACAGTAAATCTAAATCGCTTCAGAAAAGCAGTTTTCACCTTTGCATAGTTGGCTGGATCGGTCGGCGTCAGCCTGCCGTACACACTGAGCGCTTCACCACTCAAGCAAGTACTCAGAGCAGTTGCCCATTGATGTTCCGGCCAATTCTGGCTCCTTGCAATCGTCTCAAATCTGTGAAGGTAAGCGTCAAGGTCGTCCTTCCTTTCATCAAACGCTACGAGCAGCTTGCTTGGGTTCAAGCAGAAGCCATGATCTTCCCGTTCGCTGCTTTCAACTCTAGCTTGGATCGGAGTTTCACTTCGCTGTTGCAAACGGAGCCGCTCGAGTTCCATCTCGTGCTGCCGCTGCCGTTCCCTTTCAGCCATCTCCGCTTCTTTTTCTTCTTTCAGCTGTCGCTCCCTCGCTTCTGTTTCTTCTTTCAGCTGTCTCTCCCTCACTTCTCTTTCTTCTCTCGCCCTTTCGGCGGCCAACTTCTCTCTCTCCAGCTCCAACTTTAGTTGCTGCTCTCTTTCTTCTCTCTCTCTCAGCTGCCAACCTCTCTCTCTCCAACTCAGCTGCTTTTTCTTCCTTGGCTCTTTCAGCTGCCAACCTCTCTCTCTCCAACTCAGCTGCTTTTTCAGCTTTGGCTCTTTCGGCCGCCAACCTTTCTTTTTCCAGCTCAGCTGCCTTTTCTTCTGTGGCCCTCTCTTTTTCTTCTTTTTCCTTCTGGGTGACGCACTTCCGTAGTTCGGCGCCAGAAAGACCCATCTTCTCACCAAGAGCGACTAACTTTTCGAGATCCATTGTGTCTCGCAAATAAACCTTGCCGCGCGCAAAAAATATCTGCCTAAATCAGTATATCGGAACACTCTCCTGCACTCGTTAACAAGAACACTGAACAACACACAAAATCGTTCCGATAGCACTATCAACAACTCGAGGCTCTTTCTCACTACTTTGGACTCACTGTGCACCAAAAGGTCCTGTCGCGGACGCCAGAATAATTGTCACAGGTCCCGTTAATTAGGGAGGCGATCGCCAGGCTAATTCCAAGGGCCGAAGTTTCGGCACCCTTCGAACCGCACCACGAAAGCGAGGACAATTTGGAAGTGGTCCTTTTTGGCGCGCCAGCGGACGCTGGCTGTGGCCCAAAGAACAAGTCAGAGCTGAGAGTTGATGAACAAAACAAAATTGTATTCTCAATAATGGCAGATAAAAACAATACACAAGTATGCACACTCTACAATAGTTGAATACAATATGACACCAATCAAACAACGTACTACACAGTACAATCGCCAACACTCGAAACAACAGACATAGACACATTACGCACTACTATGCAGTCGCATGCATTGAACAACCAAGACACTTGAAGACTAAAGAGATAGAAAACCTATTCAGTCCAAAGTTCTTGGAACAAAAGTCTGGATGATACTCTTCCGAGAATCACTCACTCAAAGCCCAGCGTTGTTGGCGTTCTGCTGCCCCCGAAGTTTCTCTTCCAGGAAACCTCTGTCGTTCCGCTGCCCCCGACGTTTCTCTTCCAGGAAACCTTACGTCTTCACTTGGCCGCTCTCCAAGCTTCAAACTTCTTCGCCGGAAGCACGTCGGCTTCACACATGCAGCGGTTGCCACGCGTCTTCGCTCGATCGCGGTAGACACACGCTCTTGCCTGTAGCTCGAGCCTTCACCCCTCAGGGGGAAATCCTCTTCTCCTGCTTTGTACCTACGGACAAAACCTTCGCCGACTACACGGCGGAATCCCTACGTGCTCTGGCGCTAATTTCCGTCTTCTCCTGATTTCCCATCTCTGCTGCTTGATCAAATACCTTCCGCGCAAGATTTTAGAAAGTTCTCATCATTTAGTCGGCGCGATACGCAGCGAAGGCTGGGTAGAGGGCGAGACGGTTCGAAGGCCATCCGCGCCGGATGGCGCTACCCGGCATCACCACGCCCCTTTCCATCTAGAATTTTCTAGGGCCTGCTCGGCCGCCGATGTGGGGTGAGGAGGTTCGTCGGCGAACCTCGTCACCCTAGGGGAGAGGGGCGTGCGACCGGGGAGTCTTTGGATGTGTGTTTTCTTTTATTATCGTTGACACCGCGGCGTCACTGCGGCGTTTCGTCGCGAGAATTTGGCGGCGCGCAGTTTTTGAGCGCTCGTTTTGTGACACCCACCATTCATGAAAAACCAAATCAGCTCATTGAATTCAACGTATCAGCTTTAGACAATATACGCAGATAATCAATAGTTAAGTTGCATTTGTTCATCATACTTGGAAAACGGTAATGTAGTGTTTCAAATCCATAATTAGTGCGAGGACGTAGTACATGATAAGTTTCCGTATACCGAGTGACTCAACTGGCAGGATTAGGTTGCAAGGCAGCCAATGTACGTAAAAGCGTACTTCTTCGGCGTATTTCTGATTTGAAAGTTGACAGAAGCTATTATTTGTAGTAACTAGAAATTCTTAATATTCTGTATTTGGAAATATTAGAGTAGTGTGCGCATTATAGAACACACCTTCAATAAATCGCAAATCATTTTCTTGTAGTAAGACCAGGTCACTCAATGATGCTTTAGGGCCCGTAGACCAGACAAGATGACAGTAATAGTAATAATGTCACTAACAATGAAAATAATGATAATGTAGTTATGAAAACTTGTTTATAGCTCATTTACCGTTCAAATTATCTAGTATACTTTAGAAAATATTTTAGAGCTTGGCAAATGGAACATGGCCACAAGATCGCCGGGACATAAAACGTTTATAAGTGGTGCGTAATAATCACCGCCGGAGAATCGAAATCGTCGCTAACCGGGCGCACGTCATCTAGCTGAACTTATACGCCGTTACTTGTACGAGTCTGTACTCAAACCATTTTTTCAATCAAACGGACGTGCTACGCGTACTAAAAACACAGAAGAAAGGCGAAATTTCCGAAGCTTCCTTCACTGTGAAATGGAAATACTGATTCGTAAGCACACCTTCTTAGCACTCGGATGAAAAGAAATGTAACTTCTTCAGATCGATCTGTCGTTGGTATATTATAAGTAGCAAGGCAACGAGTGAGTATGCCCGAGTGTGGTTAGCCCGTGCGGTTTCGCCGCTTTGATGCCTTACGGTCTGGTTAGTCAAGTATTCTTGCCTCTTGGTGCTAGTGGCTACAAGAAGAACGGGTTACGTGTATTGAAACCTGGTGTTGTCACACATAAACAGAATTGTACTCAGAATGGTAGAGAATGGCCCACAGCCCATTTACACAAAACATTGTGCCCATCATACTGTGTCCATTGTTTCACAATAGGCCGTTCAGCCATCATCGCAAAGCAAGTTTCACTGCGCAATAAGTCTCAAGCTCGTTATGCCCAATTACTTTTCTTGAGGTATGTGATTTTGTTTGCTGATTTTTTGGTGAGATTATGTCCCCCTATTTTGAGACATCGAACGCATAGGCGGCTCGCTACCACTCGTCTTACGTCAAACTACGGAGTGCAAGAAAAAAATATCAAGAGCAAAAGTAACCACTTGAGGAGGCATGCGCTGGTTTTACTTTTGCAAAGCACTCTCTTGACTTCACGTTAAAAGCAAGAGAAAGGAAAAAAAAAATGTTTGTTTGGTAATAAGCTGGCCAAGCTGCCACACCACAGAATGACTTGTGATTAAAATTTTTGGAGACAGAGCTGGTAAAGAAATTTCGGTCAGAAATAAGTAGGCTTTGCTGGGCACAAATATTAGGTTTAAGTTAGCTAGAGAAGTTTTGGTGCTGTATGCAATTTAATAGAGCATCAGGGCTATGGTGATTTATTAAAAATTTATGGTTCTTTGTTTTTCAGGAAGCCTTCCACTTCACACAAGATGAGTTCTTTTCGATCATGCAGCATTTCAATGTAAGCAAGTGAACTAGTCCTCTGAATTGACAAGTAATGTTCAAAGATACATAGGAAAAATTGACTTACTTTCACTGGTGATATTTGTTAGTATTGCGTATATCAGTGAATAAATCTGCTTTGGAAACTACAACCCCTCAGCTCTATGACTGCGAGTGACTTTTTTAACAAGCATATTCTGTAAGCACTGGTACATCTGGTTTATTGTGTGTCTTTGATATATACCAGATGCATATACCAGGTATATCTGTTCATCCTAAATGCTGAGAGTTACGCGACAAATTGAACAGGAGGATGACCACTGCCACAGCCTATAACTGGAAGAGCACTGGATGCGTTATTCGAAGGTTGCAGTTTTGGTGCCTGCAGGTAGCAAGTTGTCTTCACGTGCAGATGGGAGCCGGTTCTCATCAGCAGCACCAATCTACACGTTAATGTCATGAACGTCCAGTCTACTTCTTCATACCAATCTGCCTATGCTACAGTACACTTGCCTATTTCGCAATCTTGTGTTTTCGACTATTCATATAGTGTTCCTGAACCTCTAAGCCTTACCTGATATAACATTGTGAATAGTTGCTATTACAATTACTGCTACGACGTTGCACCGAAGTTGTAACTTTGTTTTCTCTTTCCTCTGTTTAACAGAATTGCCTAAGGGGTGACATGTTGCCTATGGATGTATCAGTGGCCCAGGGTCTTATGAGATACTTCATCAAGAGATCATCCATGGTGCCGAACAGATAAAAAGCCTGCAACACTGAAACAAAAGCCAATAATGAATAAAAAGTTACCTCTTGACATTCATAACGTTTTCTTGTCATCATTCAGACCCTAGAATAAAGCAAACTGTTGGCGCTGAAAACACAACGCTTGGTTAATGTGTACGCTTCTGTAACAGATGTACAACTTGCAATGCACGTGAATGCCTGTTTATGAACCAAACATTTCTCTCTCGCTGCTACAATCGCATCTACCTTAAAACACGTAATAGTTATATTCATTTCAATAAGCTTGATCCTAATTAGGCATACATAAATAGATGACACAAACTTTACATCCAGGGAAAACAGTGACTCCTTGATTCAGAAACTAAGTTCAACTGCACCTGAGTTTTCAAGGTGCATGATGACTGTATTGGAAAATTTATGCATCGGCGCATGGCCAGCTGAGCAAATCTTTTGAGGAACCAAGGTATACTCGCCATATGGAATGGAAAAAGTTTATTTTTGTCCTGCAGGGCGTCCTTAGCGCGTAGCGGACGTCTGCCACGTAGAGACCAATAGGGGGGCCGCTTCGTAGGCCTGCTGGAAGACCCATTGCCGGTCAGCGAGAAGTGAGCTTTTTGTGGGATTTCACCAACTTGTTTGAGGTATATTGGGGTTGAGCCCTTCTACACTCCCAGAGAATACATGCGAAGGTCGCTGTGTGTCCGCATGACGGACACGTGTCACTGGTTTACAAACTCGCTGTATGTTCCAAAAAATTTCACTCAGTCACCCACTAATCTTGCTTGATCTGTAAACTTCATTATGATACTTTTAGCTGTTTTTTATGCTTAGGAGAACATTCTGAAAAATATATTTCGTGATTGTCGACCCCTATCAGAATATAAATGGCTCTGGATCTCATGTCAAACCAATTTATGTGACAGAGAAACCACAAGAAAATTTACTTCTAATGCACTTCTATTTCTCCGTAAGCCACAGAGAACCCATTGAAAGCAGGGAGAAATCTTGTTGGAAATAAAAGTTCATGCTTCGATTGTTGCCACATCACTGCACCTCAAAGCCACAAAAAAACGAAGACAGTGTTATTTTTTTGAAAACAATATCACCTGGGGTAAGGAAAGATTAAAGATCATTGTTAGCTGTAGGAAAATCTCGCTTAGAGAAAAGCCCGATTTTCGCCTGAGATGGAAATGATGTGCAAACATATCAAGTGAGTTAAACAATAAATTAAATTATAAGTAAGCTTTTTTAAGCTGTAGTTGTAGAGTGGAATTTTTTTCTTTACTTTGCCCAAGAAAATAAAGTTGTAAATTAAAAACTATAGCTACTTTTTCTTGCTCCTCAAAGTCTGTGTGTTAGCATTTAACAACAACAAAAAAATAAATGCCCCAGTTATGACTAAACCGTCACAACCTGCTTCTACAATATTGTGTGCAAATCAAGTGCAACCAACTAAATCTTCAGGCTTTGTGTAAATGATGTGTAAAGAAATTCCGCCACTCAGCATTACTTTAATACATAAAAAAATGGCAGCATATCCATGGAGTGGATGATGAAGAGTGGGGCGAAGAATCTGTCCGTCCATTCGTTCTTGCTTCCATCCGTCCATGCGTCCGTCTGCGTAACCGTCCGTGCGTCCATCCGCCCGTGCGTGCGTCTGTTCGTGCGTACGCACGTCCATCTGTGAGTTCGTCCATGCATCCGTCCCTGCGTCCGTCCATGCGTCCATCCGTGCGTCCATCCATTCATCTGTCTGTGTGTCCGTTCGTCCATCTATTCAACATTTCAAGTACCACCATCTCGCATCTTTTCATCATACATTCCCCATATAGAAGCACCGCCATCCAGCGGACATTCCAAGGACTAAACAAGAGTTGGCACACGCACAATTTCTTATGGCGTGCGCTTCGTGTCTATATACTTCCCACCTTTAACCACCTCGAGCTTATGGTGTATAATAGTTCACTGTATTCATGACACTGCAGCTCAACGCTTGCTAAACCTTTCTAAAACCAAGGAGGTTACGCCCAGCGAGTACCAATCCTTTCTTGTCAGATAGTGCTCAAACTACATGCCAATGG